CCAGTATCAGGTGCTTAACAAAACTTTGGGAACAAGGAGGACCCAAGTACTCATGGCAAGAGATGTTTAGGATACATTAGACATCAGTGGACTGACCCAGACAGCCCAAGTTGAGGGGAATGCGAGTGGTTGTTGAAAGCAGTGAACGTGGTTATTTTCATCATTGCCATTCTGGGCTCTACAGGAGCTGTGAGGCCAAGCAGACTTGTGATATATAACTGAAGGTGCGTATCTATGTAAGAAAGAAGCTCACAGTTGTTTGTTCCAGCAAACTCCAGTTCCTGAGTTCTGGCTCCCCACTCCTTTATTCCCTTGACTCCAGCAATTTAGAGTCACCACACAATAAGTAAGTTCCAACTGCAGCACTCTCAGGCAAGGAAAAGCAGAAATGATCTACTACATTTCCCTCTTTGTCAATATTAATAAATCCAGACCTTTCTATATTTAATATATTTAATAACTGGTCATCCATTTCATACAGGGTGAAAAGGGACGGGAACATCTGTTGAAATGGATCCAAGTCCTCTCCAAGGTACAATCTGATCGTACTTTTAGACATGTAGAGTCGTTTGCTAAAACAAACTATAGTCATTGGGCTTGATAGATACCTATTAACAAACACCCCTGATCTACTCCCAAGATTGAACATAGAAATAGATGCTCAGTGAGAAGGAAAATACTTTGTAAAAATGGTGTATTATATAGTTTGATGTGTACTATAAAAATGGAGCTTACAAAAGATTCCATGGGGCTGGAGCAATAGCACAGCGGGTAAGGCATTTGCCTTGCACACTGCCAACCTGGGTTTGATTCCCAGCATCCCATATGGTCCCCTGAGTACTGAAGTAATTCCTGGGTGCATGAGCCAAGAGTAACTCCTGTGCATCGCCCGGTGTGACCCAAAACAAACAAGCAAACAAAACCAAAAAACTTCATGGACATTTGAAACCTATGTCAATGTTAGTGCAATATTTAAATTCTTGCATAAACTCCTTAGATCTGTATCAAACTTCAATATGTCTGGTTTAAAAATGAAGCTATCCTAGTTACCTAAAGTCTGACATAACAGGGGCCAGTGTGATAGGACAGCAGGTAGGAATATTGTCTTGCACGTGCCTTACCTGGGTTCAATCCCTGACATCCTATACGGACCCCTGAGCCAGCCAGGGGTCATCCCTGAGCACAGAACCAGGAGTAAGCCCTCGGCTCTGCCAGATGTGCCTTCTCCCCCACAAAAAACACAAAGAATGTTACAAAAAAAAATGGGGTCACAGAGATAGTACAATGAGTAAGATGCTTTTTGCCTCACATGCTATTGACCTGTGTTAGATCCCCATTATTCCACAGTCTCCTGAGCACAGAGCCAGGAGTAAACCTTGAACACAGCTGGGTAAAACAAAATCAAGTGTGAACAATTAACATTTTTGATGACACTAAAGCTAATGTTACATAAAGCCTCTGTAGTTAACAGCATATTAAGCACATTTCTACCTCCAACTCCCAAAGATGGGGAAAACAAATAATATTTTAGTTATATTAAAATTAAAAAGTCACTTTACACAGGCTAACGATATATTACTTCAGGTTATTTTCAATTAATATGCTATGTTTCAAGAATCATATAAGGATTATCAATGATTTGGGGTTAATGTCAAAGGTTTAATTTTCCATTCAATTAACAGCATTTTCAGTCATTTTGTTCTGGGTAAGTGATTTATTAGACCTGGTGCTCAGTTTATGAGTTTTTTTTCATTTCAACTTGAAGAAACTGCAAATATTTATAGAAGATGAACCACATGTATTTGTTCCTGAAAAATGTCAGAATATAGCACTCAAATCAAATGCTAACAGAAGCTATTCCCTAACACTACATACTGTGGAGATTTGATTTTCATTGCCATGTTTTCCTAAACAGTTTTTCCCACTACAGTAATTCCTAACTCAAAAACTACTGAAATCATCCCCTAAGTGAATATTCTGAATTATAGGTATCCAAACAGCTCAGAAGGAATTTAAGAGAGAATTACACCTTTAAAGAAGTATAACTGAATTATTAATCCTACGCATTGAGGAAAACAGTAGTCATGATTATTTTGTATTGATTTTTCTCCCTTGGATGCTTTAAGTGCACAGCAAGTCCAAATCTAGGGTATAAACAACCAATAGACTCTGTTGTGCAATTCCCTCTGCCTGTCAATATAGCAATATATATTGATTCAAATTAAGGAATCAGGGGCTGGAGCGATAGCACAGCGGGTAGGGCATCTGCCTTGCACGCAGCCGACCCAGGTTCAACTCCCAGCATCCGATATGGTCCCCTGAGCACCGCCAGGAGTAATTCCTGAGTGCAGAGCCAGGAGTAACCCCTGTGCATCACCAGTTGTGACCCCCAAAAAAAGCAAAAGCAAAAAAAAAATTAAGGAATTATAATGAAGAGGGTATAGTCTTTTGGGAAAGCAATTTAGAAACAAATAAAAGTCTAGTACTTCTATATGCCCTATGACTAGCAGGCCTACTTCTAAAATTCTACCCTGGAAAATTAATTACATATGTATTTCCATTTTAGAATGGCCAAAGTCTGCCAATAACCAACTATCCAGAAGTGACAGTCAACTAATGTTCTATGTCCTTGATGAGAATTTTACCAAAGCAAGTATTACTCCTTTCCCTTATCATCCCTCATCTGGGGATGGTGCTGGAACAATCCAGAAGCACAGTAGTAGCATTAGGTGCAACTGGGAAGCAATTTCTGTTTCTTTACTTAAGGCACATTTTCTTCTTTTATTAGTGACAAACGATGAGGTACAGTTTTAGACTTACAAATTTTTGTGCTTGGGTTTCAATTATACAATGATTAAGTACCCATCCCTCCACCTGTGCCCATTCTCTACCACCAATGATCCCAGTATCCCTCCCACCACCCCATCCCCCCTCACCTCTGTGGCAGGGCATTCCCTTTTGTTCTCTCTCTCCTTTTGAGTGTTGTGGTTTGCAAAAGAGGCACTGAGTGGCAATCATGTTTGGTCTAGAGTCTACTTTCAGCATGCTTCTCCCATCCTGGGAGGATTCTCCCAACACCCTTTATTTGGTGCTCCCTTCTCTATCTCAGCTGCCTTTTCCCCTAGCATGTATTTACTCCAAGGCATGGATTAAACCTCCTGGTACTAATCTTGGCTATTCTTGGGTATTAGTCTCCTATTTTGTTACTTTATGTTCCCCAGATGAATGCGATCTTTCTATGTCTATCCCTCTCTTTCTAACTCATTTCGCTTAACATGATACTTTCCATGTAGTACCACTTGTATGTAAATTTCATGACTTCATTTCTAACAGCTACATAGTATTCCATTGTGTAGATGTACCAAAGTTTCTTTAACCAGTCATCTGTTCTTGGGCACTCAGGTTTTCCCAGATTCTGGCTATTGTAAAGAGTGCTGCAATGAACAAACAAGTGCAGATGTCACTTCGGCTATACTTTTTTTTTAACCTCTCTGGGGTATATTCCCAGGAGTGGTATTGCTGGGTCAAACGGGAGCTCAATTTCTAATTTTTGGAGAATTTTCCATACTGTTTTCCAAAAGGGATGAACCAGTCAGCATTCCCACCAACAGTGAAGGAGGGTCCCTTTCTCTCCACATTCGCGCCAACACCTCTTCCTTTTGCTCTTTTGGATGTGGGCCAGTCTCTGTGGTGTCAAATGATATCTCATTGTTGTTTTGATCTGCATCTCAACTGATGATTAATGATGTAGAGCATTTTCTCATGTGCCTTTTAGCCATTCGGATTTCTTCTTTGAGAAAGTTTCTGTACATTTCGTCGCCCCATTTTTTTATGAGGTTGGATGTCTTCTTGTGGACTTCAATCAGTACCTTGTATATCCTTGATATCAACCCCTTGTCGAATGTGTATTCGGCGAATATCCTTTCCCATTCTGTAGACTGTCTTTGTATTTTGGTCATTGTTTCTTTTGAGGTGCAGAAGCTTCTTAGTTTAAGATAGTCCCATTTGTCTATCTCTGTTTACACTTGCTCAGCCAGTGGCATGACATCTTTGAAGATACCATTAGCTTCAATGTCATGAAGGGTTTCGTTTAGGCACATTTTCGAGAAGGTGCTACATCATCCTCCCACCTTCCAAAAAGGGAGCAGTAGGTCTAATAAAGTTTGAGAACTGCTGTCCTTGACCTTAATCCCCAGCCGAACATCTATAAAGCTTGTACACATCCTTTAATACTTTCCCCCCTTTTGTCTTCTCACCTGAATAAGGAAAGGAATAGACAGGAAGGCCAGGCGACTCATCTAAAAGGACACTGAAGGAAGAAGGACCAGTTTCCAATGTTGTCACCTGATCCCAGGGCTCTTGTGATACCTTCAAAATATGTTTTCAAACACATTTTTAATTCCCCTTACTCTATATATCCATCCCACCCATGTTTCTAGAAGTCAGGTTCTCAAGCTGTGAATTCCCCTGTGAGTCTCTCAGTACACACACAGAGTTGACAGATCTCACTGATTTGGGCATTCCATGAACAGCAGGATCTTCAGTCATCAAAGATTACCCAAATCTTCAGAGGTAAAAAGAATTCACAGTTGCAAACTGGAATGACAGTACAGTGGGTAGGGCGTTTGCTTTGCATGCAGCCAACCTGGGTTCAATCTCCAGCATCCCTTATGGTCTGCCAAGCAACACCAGGAGTAATTCCTGAGTGCAGAGCCAGGAGTAACCCCTAAGCATCACCAGGTATGACCCCAAAAGCCAAAACAAACAAACAAAAAATTTACAGTTGGTCTCTGGGTTGATGGGAACAGGAAATAGTAAACACACTGGGTGGTAGGAATGTGAACTTCATGGGAAGCAAAGGTGATGGAGCATTTTTATTAAACCTGTTTTGTCTTTTGCGAATAAATTGGTAAAAGTTCGTCTGAGAGGGTGAGAGGGGAAGGAGGGAAGGATGAGAAAGCAAGTAAATATGTCTAAAATCAAAGAGCAAGAACACAAGATAACTTTATTTTAACTTTATTGTTGGATAGAAAGATTTTCCAATATACAAATGTTTTTCTTCCAAGAGTTGACTAAATGTGATTTTAAAAATCCATGTTAATTCCTTTTCTGGAAACATTTTTCTTAGTTGTTGTATTCTTGAAGAGCCTGGGCCATGAAGAGTTTGCCTAAATTTTGGGCGGTGAACTCCTTGATATTCTGGCAGTAAGTGTTGATTTGGCCTGTGCATTTGGGACAGTAAGAAAGAGAATCAGAATGTGCCACAAATTAAAAACTACACAGAAAATTAGTCCAACAAAAAAATCGGAATTCAGAATTACTTTGATTCAAAGTGCTTTGAATCAAAAGTTTAAAATGATTGATTCTTCTTTCCCACCAAACATAATCAAGAATGGATGAATGTTGTTGTTTAGTAAGATGTCTTGCACACTTTGCTACATGGAAAATAATGAAAAATTACAATTTCTCAAAAGGTCATTTGCAGTAAGTACACATTGGCCGTACTTTATTCCAGTCAGGCCAACACTGTTCTAAGACCAGCAAGAAAACAGCACTAGCTGTCCTTAGCCAGGTAGAAAGGAAATGGCATATTGCAAAACCAACCCAGGCCACCTGACCCAAAAGTGAAAAAGTACTGTTTATAGTCTAGAAATATTAAGGGTTGTTTCCCACAGCCAAGATAGAACAGGAGCACAGTTTACTTAAATAAAGAGCTCCATCACTGCTTCGTATGTATTAAAACTAGTAATTGAATCTGATGCAACCGTTTTATTTTTCAATAAGCATTAAGAAATACAGTTAGTTCAGTCTGAAGTGGATCTTTAAGGAAAGTGTCTCCATTTACCAAATTTAATTTACATTTGTACTAGACAGTCTTAAAGGAATCTAGATTCATACACAACTCCTCCCTCCACCCTCAATATACACACAAATTTACAAACTGTGGAAGGTCAGATTTTCTTTGAACAGGATTTCCACTCTAACAACTTTCTCACTGGCCAATTAAATTAAACATATTTAACAACATTTAAAAAGAACTGAGGCTACTGTTCTTTTTAATTTTTAGGAATGTTATGTACTAAAAACTTAGTAAGTCCTAGCATAAGATACAAGATCTCTATTCTTAAAGCCAGTTTTAAATGATAAACGGAGCCCAGGAAAATTTCATTCCGAGTTATAACCATATTGCTGCAATTTCCCCTACAAAAAGAGATGGGAAACACTTTCCGTCAAGACAGAAAATTCAATTCAAATACTACAGACTCAGTGCTAAGCTAGAATGTGAAAAGTTAAGGGGCTTGAGCAAAATGATTGTTTGCATTATGAGACTGTAAACATTTATTCTTGGTTTCCATCAAAGATAACTCAAATAAAACCTTTCCACATTAGAATGCTTATAATGCTATCTCAGAAATGTTTAGATAAACAGAGCGAGGCACTGAAAGACCTTCAGAAATAACAAAGACAGACAAATTCTTAAATTTCAGAAAGTATAGCTGCTAGATTTAAATTCATCATTCAACTACTTTAAATATGCCAGCCGACATTCCTCTGTTTGTAAATCTCTCTCTTCTGTTTCCGAAAGGCAGAGACAACCAGTCGTGTTTGACACTGGCTAACCATACCTGCAATGAGCAGTGAATCCATCCTGGGCGGGGGCTGGGGGGGTTTAAAAAGTTTGGACAAATCCTCCTCAGGGAGTGGGGGTTCCCCTCGACTCTGCCGCTGCATATTCTCTTGCTGGCGACGCTGCTGATACTGAAATTCAGAGGGAAAATAATTTATTTCTGTCTAGCTGCAGAGGGAAAAAATGATCAGCCTCTCTTAGGCAAATAGAAAAATTCCACCGCTTGGACTTCCAAATCTCGGTTTCGTAAACGACAATATTTAGTAATTCCTACTTCAAAAGTCGGGGGAAGGGGGGGGCCTAGAGTACGGAAAAAAAAATTCCTCTGTCTCAGACCGATGACACTTTGAGATAAGAGAGTCTGTAATGATGGGGGAAAATGAAACTGCTGATGTGAGAAATGGGACTTAAGAAGCAAAGCAGCTCATGGTTGTGAGAGAGAATAACTTTCCTTCATTTGACTACAACAGTATTACAAGCACCATTCACCTTAATTTGTGGGATAGGTGGGGGTTTTGGGTTTTAGGTCACACCCAGGGTGCTAAAGGCTTATTTCTTTCTGGCTTCGCTCAGGGGGTCAATCCTGGTAGTGCCAGGGGATCACATGTGGTGCTGAGGCTCGAACAAGGGTGCATCACAGGCCAGGCTACTGCTTTAACCCCGGTACTCTCTCAGGCCCTTATTGTAATTTTAATCTGAATTCATTTTAACAAATAAACTACCACATGGGAGAACCTTTCTGCTTCACCTGTGCTAACCTAAAGTAACAATAATATTGATGATGCTGTTATACATCACTACACTATTATCACTCTAAGGAAAAAATTACCATTTTAAACTGGCAATCACCTATGTTTTAGCTCTGTGACTAAGAGTGTCTACTAATCAAAATCATTTCTCAAAACTTTCAAACTCTGGGCTCTTAAGATTCCCTGAAATAGGGGCCGCAGCAATAGTACAGATAGTACATTTGCCATGCACGCGACCAATCCAGGTTCAATCCCTGGCATCCCATATGGTCCCCCAAGCACAGCCACTGGTAATTTCTGAGCACAGAGTAATGTCTCAGTATTGTTGGGTGTGACCGAAAAAGAAAACAACAACAAAAAAATTCCCTGAATTAGGCCAGTGAAAACAGCACTGGGTTAGGATGGTTGCCTTGCACACTGCTGACCACAATTTGGTCCACAGTAACACATATGATTCTCCCCAGCTCACCAGGAATGATCTCTAAGCTCACCCTGAGCACAGTCAGATGCAAAACCAAAAAGGAAAAAAAACAAACTTGGATGTCAAATTACAGCGAATAGTTCATGGACATGGATTGCTCCCAGCAGCATGAGATAATAACCCACATAAAGTCTAACAGGCCAGGTAATAAGAAAGCATGGTAGGATAGTAAAAATTTTAGTCTCTGCATTCTTCTGATAATCAAGGGAAATAGCAGTTCTTCCTAAAGAATTTTAATTTGCTCTACAGAGATTCCTAAACTCACACTGTACAAGAGTAGAAGTGAGAAGGTTCTAGTAAGAATGCATAAATTTGAAATACAAAATTTTGAAACATACTAGTATTCTGAAAATATGTTAAACTGATTTTCAAATCAACAGCTTCAAAAGTTAAAAGATTTTCTATTTGATACCCCAAGTTGAGTCCTTTTCCTAAATGAAGACTCAGCAGAAATCAAGCTGGGTTTTCTTGCTGGTTTATCAGATTTTCACCACCCTCTTGGCTGAAAGGGCCTATTTATGTATGTTTTAAAAATTCTAATTACAACATGGGCAAATCACTGTAAATTTCATGAACTAATACAATACGTCAAAACCACTTCATAGTGCTTAGAATTCTATTTTTAATAACACCTAATTTAAAAAATAATTTAATGAACAGTGTAGTCCTGAATACTTCTTCAGATAAATATTTTGGAATCAAATTTTCTGTATCAGTCAGGTACTAAGAGTCTTTCAGAACAATATAGTCCAAAAGCAATATTCCAGAAAACCTTGCGGCCTTCAGGCAACACTAATAAAATGTTAAACAGCCCTAACAGTATATATGTGCATATGAGAATATTCAGGTAATTCTAGAGGTTTTATCTGTATTTTACTATCTATTTCACAGCAGTTGGTCTATTATTCCCTATCAAAATCGCTTGCTCTTAATCACAATTGCTCAGTTTTTTTTAATGAACTGAAGATTGCTAACTATACTGCAATGAGCCACTACCAAACCAATTATAGTTAGTAAAGAAATGAGCTGTGACTCTAGAATTTCCTTGCCTCTGATTTTCTCAATAAATGTACCTCTTATTTGCATAACCTTGGCATTACAATCTGAGCTTAACATACCAGACTCTCTTTAAGGCAGGTACTCTTAAGTACAACTGGTAAATAATATCTTAGAAACATATTCTGCAAAACAATAATCTTTCCAGTATGATATAAAGTTACTAGCAAGCAGCCAGTGCTTTATCAGAAAATTTAGATCATTCTAAAGATGACTCTTGAAGTGTCACACTTAGAAAATAAATTCTATGTTTGATGAATTCTTCCATAATACCAACCTGATGTTTCTGCTGCTGCTGTTTACTCGTGTTTCTCATGTATGTGTTATATTTAACTATATCTTGGCTCATATCATCCACTCTGTCCATCAGCAGCTGTAGATTTTTCCCCAAATGATTGCTGAAATGTAAAGTAAATATGCTGACATGTCATATTTTAAAGTTATAGCTCTGACACTGCTGAGTTCTGAGGTATCAAATGGATCTGACATTTGCTAAGTGAACAAGCGCACACATTCTGCACCCCCACCCAACTCCCCCCCCAAAAAAAGGGGGGGTTACAGAGAGAGTTTTAGTTTATTATTGAAATTTTCGGTTCAAACCCATAAGCATAACCACAAAATACCAGAAATAGTTAGCTTCTTACCGCGGGAGCATATAGCTGGTAGGTAGGAACTCTTACACACACCTAGCATGGTGTCTGTGTTCTGAACAATGGAGTTCAACGTAAACCCAATGTTCCTGGACCCTTTTCCTTATCCGTTGTCTCTGAGCTCCTCGCCCCTGACCACTTGTATTCCAGAGCTTCCCCTCCCCACTCCAGTGTCAGGGACTGAACTCAGGACCGCACACAAGCAAGGCAAGTTGTTTTACCATTGAATCACATTCCCAGACATCTCAATCCACAGTCACAGGAAAGGAGAATCATGTAATCGGACTAATACTCCTGGTACGAGTCCTTCCTTTCTTTAGCAAGGTTCTAAAAGAGCAACAGTAGCCCTTCCTCCACAAAGAGCAACAGTAGCCCTTCCTCCACAAAGCCATATGTATAGAAAGGACTCCTTTCCTCTTGCCCTTCCTAAAATCTATGGCACAGTCTTTCATACTTCTTTTCCTCTCCAGAAACTTTAACTGCAGTTCATTTACCAAAGATCTGCTTCTGTTATGCTAATGGTTAGTTACAACCACCACCATAGTTCATTAATTTTTCTCAGCAACTATCTCCTATGTTGGTAAAGGCAGTTACTATACATCTAAACTTTAAAATTCATTAGCTGAAACAGTACTCATTCATTCATTTGGAACTGATAATTGTTAAACGCCTATTGTATTTCAGCCTCAGTGTTAGCAAACGGGACACAATAGGAATGAGACATTCATGGTCTTTAACTCAGCTTACAAGTTAGCAAAGGGAAGAAGGAGGCAGAGAGACACCTAGACTTCATCAGATGGTAAGTCAGGCTTTCTGAAGAAATGACTGTCCAAAAGACCAATCAATCATGCAGGCACTTGTGAACAGGAGAAAGTACTAGTGTTAAGTCAAGCCTGAGATGGGCAAGAACGAAGGTGGGGAGGTTAAAAAGAGACATGGGAATACTGAAGCACGGTAACAGGTGAGGGAGGTCAGATCAATTAAGACTTTATTGTGGAGACTGAAATCTCAAGGCTTTCACAGAATTGGGATGGACTACCTCCCCCCAGCTCCCTGTACTTCCAAAAGCCCCAGAAGTCATGTACATGAACCAGCTCTAGCTCCAGCTCCAATTAAGTTCATTCACTGGCCATAATCCAGAAGACTTATAAATAAATCTCAAAAGAGATCAATAAGTTGTAGATTTTTTCCCAGACCCTGCGCGAGGCTGAGTCACTTAGGGCACCACCTGAGGGCAAGGGTGGATATGTGTGTGTGTGTGTGTGTGTGTGTGTGTGTGTATGTGTGTGTGTGTGTGTGTGTGTGTGTAGGGGGGGAGAGGCTGGAGGGAGGGTGAGCCCAGGGTCAGTCCAAACCCAGAAGTTAATCTGTAGAAAAACTCAGGTTAAGTTGTGGGTTTTTGTGACTGCAATCTCCATCCAGGCTTTCACGAAGTCAGGGATGGGTGATCTCCTGGCATCTCCCTGTACTTATGGAAGCCTTGGGAGTCACTCACACTGCCCAAAGCCACCACCCAGTTAAAAATTTAACTCCAGCTGTATCACCTGTTAAAAGTTTCGGACTTTTGGGAGCACACCCTGCAACATCTCAAACTACAATACTGATAAACCAGGAATAGCAAGCCAGATTAGATGGGATGCAATGTAGAAAGAAACCAATCTCAACGAAATACAAGCACAGAAGACTTAACCTGTAACAACATCTTTGTAATCGCTTATACAGGGGCTTAAGGGCTTCATGGTGAGATACAATTCACTAACTTTCTTCTATGGAAGCATTTTTTTGATCATTCTTTTAGCAAATTATTTTTAACAAGCACTATAAAATAAATTATTGAGGGTCTGCTATGGGTGCAGGCTTAAGGGGGTGATTGGGGAAGCTGGAAATAATGGTGATGGGAAGGTGGAATGGTGTTAGAATACTGAATGTCTGTAACAAATCATCATAAACAACTTTGTAAACCTCAGTGTTTACATAAAGTGTAAGGGGGGAGAAGACTTCACTGTGCAGCTGGAGAGATAGCTCATCAGGCCTACACATGCTTCACAGACAGACTTGGTTTGATCCCAAGCACTGTATGGTCTCTTATGCGCATCCCAGGAGTGAGTCCTGAGCACAGAACTGGGAGTAGTGTCCCCAATCCCCTCCCTTGTCCCCACATGACTACACATAGCTGCCAAACAAAACAATATCTATAGTACGGAGCCCCAGGGACTGTACTGGGGGCAAGGCAGTCATCTTGCATGCAGCAAACGTGATTCTGGTTTGAATCCCTGGCATATACATGGTCTCCTAAGCAGAAAGCCTGGAATACAGCTCCTAAGCAATGCAACGTATGAACCAAAGATCCCTCAACATCTAGTCAGTGGGAGGTAGAGGGGTGTGGAGTTTGGGGGGGAGGGAAGGTCTACTACTGCAGAGTGTTGGCAGAAAAATGTGGAGAAATTTGGCAACTCATACACTGTGGTAAGAATGGAAAATGGTAAGCCACCATACCATCATATGGAAGTATGAATTTTCTTGAAAAATAAATCACCATGATCCCCAGCACCACAGCAGGAGCAGCTAAGACAAAATAGGGAGTTACCGTACAACCCAATAATTCTCCTCCAGCATATACTAAATAACAAAAATATATACATCTTAAGTTCATGTCCCATTTTTCAAGGGAGATGACAAACTTTCCTAAGAAAGACGAACTTACTTTACAAACATTTCTATTTTTGTTGTGGGGAGTAACAACAGAAGAGAGACAAATCGAAAGGGATACAAATGGTGCTAGTAGGAATGTGTAGTGTTGACCTCAGGGAGAGATCAGTGGCGATGTGCCTGCCTTGTATACGAGAAGCTGCAGGGTCGATCCCTTGGCACATCACAAATGCAAACCGAAATCCTTGGAGACGAGGAGGAGTGTGAAAGGCGTTAAGAGCTACACTTTAACTTCTTCACTATCTCCCTAGTTCCAGAAATAAAAGGATATCATTTACAGAGACGAGGAAGAAATGAATTAGGAATGTAAATGAAAGAAGACCCAATTCTAAAAAGAAATTCGGTATGGGTTCCTTATGCAATCTGAGTCTTAAAATGAGTGGGGTGTGTGCGTGTGTGTGTGTGTGGGGGGGGGGGGTGTTGGGGAAGGGTGGTGTCCCTTTAATAGTGGAAACAGCATAAAATCTGTGCTATCATGTGGGCATAAATGTTATTTAAATACACCTTTAATGGTGGAGAAAGGAGACTGGTGGAGGGATGGGTACTTGATCACTGTATAACTGAAACCCAAGCATGAAAGTTTGTAAGTCTACAACTGTACCTCAAGGTGTTTCACCAATAAAAATAAGTAAGTAAGTAAATAAATGAATGAACACACCTTTAAATCCTGGGCTTGAATTTAAGTCTAAACTACCTATATATTCTTGGTGGAATGATTTAACCTATCAAGGGATCAAGTATTTCTTTCATATTAACTTTAACTCATATTTATCGTAGCCTGTGTAATCTTGTGAACTGCTTTTAGTTTTAAAATACCTCTTCTGAAGGGGAACACCAAATAAAGGTGTTGGGAGGACCCTCCCAGGATGGGAGAAGCATGCTGAAAGTAGACTATAGACCAAACATGATTGCCATTCAATGTTTCTTTTGCAAACCACAACACCCAAAAGGAGAGAGAGAACAGAGGGGAATGCCCTGCCACAGAGTCAGGGTGGAATGGGGGGGATGGGGGTGGGAGGGATACTGGGATCCGTGGTGGTGGGAAGTGGGCACTGGTGGAGGGATGGTATTTGATCATTGTATAATTGAAACCCAAGCACAAAAACGTGCAAGTCTGCAACTGTACCTCATGATGTCTCACTATTAAAAAAATTTTTTAATAAAAAAAAAAACCTCTTCTCTGTAAACTAGATTAAGTATCCACTTCTGTTTTCTCCTAATTTCTTAATAGTCTTTTCAATTTACCCACAGTAAGCGTTTGGACCAAAAGTGCAAGGCGAAGATCCAGATTCATAACTTATACAGTCATGCAACTTTAGAATTAAATCGTAACAATATATTATCTTCTCACATGCATTCTTTCAACACACAGGAGTATATGCCTACTGTGCCAGTCACTTCTGTTGGATACTAAAGACACTGCTGAACTCAAACATTCTAGTAAAAGGAGACGAATGTAAATAAATACAACACAGAGATGATATAATAACTGCTATAATACACTCTATGCAAAAGATTTTGGGAAGGAGACTTTCCTGACCCTATAACACCTTATTACTGAATTTTAAAGAGGAGTTGCAGACAAGGAAAAGGGTGAGGACACTGCAGATTCTGGGCAACAAGCTCAGAGACTTTGGCATGGGTGGGTGAATAAGCTAAGAACTATAAGGTCTTCAGTACACCAGGAGCAAGGAAAAAGGACAAGACTATGGAAAAAGAACTATGAAACTAAAGAGACAGACAACAGTCATAGCACAGACTCTTGGAAGGGTGTGTGTGTGTGTGTGTGTGTGTGTGTGTGTGTGTGTGTGTGTGTGTTCCATTCTAAGGACAACAGAGAACTAGCCAAATATTTTAATCTAAGTAGTAATATGATCATACAATTTTCATTTAGCATGATCGCCACAAGGAAAGGCTAAAAGCAGGAAGTTAGGAGACTGTGAAAGTAATCAGGAATAGAAATAATGAGGTCCAGGCCTAAGGTAGTCAAATACGTAAAAGTGAGATGTTATTCCCAGGAATGTAAGTAGGAGGAGGAAGACAGAGTTGGAAAATACTAATATTAAGGGATGAGCAGAAGTGGGTTTACTGTGGCGAGAAGTTACCCAGAAGAGCTGCAGTATTATAGACTGAAAAAAAGGGGTAGAATTTTAGGAATAACTGTTAAATGCCTAAGATTATTACAGCATCCTGTGACAGAATACCAATGAAGTATTCTATGAGTATAATGAGAACCATAATATACGATAGAATAGTCAGACTGGTTAGAGAAATACTAAAGCATGAGGTGGAAAGACAATACAGGGGAGGAAATGGATGGGGTTTGCCTTAGGGAAAATACCCATTCTTTCATTTCACCCACCAGGGAAGACTTGAGGCTTAAAGAAGACCTGAGGCTTAAAGAAGAGACACATTAACTGTACAATTGTCAAATAAATCATTTATGTAAGGGGAAAATGAATTCATTGAAGGCAAACCAGCACTAGTTCGTTGACTGAATGATTAGTGGGGGGAGAGGGAATGGCAGTGACACTTGAGGAAAACAGAAAGAACAGAGAGCACGCCCCTGAGAAGGCCAGACCTTAACCACGGAGGTAACTGCACTGGCTTTAGCAATGAGATAGGTCATCTAAGGACAGACCGTCTCTCTTTACCAAGAACTATCTCCAATATAGAGTATCACCATTCTTCGTTTTAAGTATGTGTGATTATAGTGAGGAACAAGCAGTGATATAAGAACTTTAAACATTTTTCATAACATTTACAATACTAAATGCCTGTCAGAAACGTATCTGATCAGATTATACTTTTCAAACATATAACTCAAAAGTCTGCACAGTAAAGACCTTGAAGGGCAAATAAAATTAAGATACATAACTATTTCACAAATAACATTCACAGGAAATCAGGTCCATTACCAACAGCAATTTTATGGAGATCTTTTCAGTACCAGTTCAATAAAAATACTGAAACAGAATTATTGTTAGGAGTTTAAATAATGTAGCCTCTTCCTATTGCCAAGGAAACAAAGTTATCTGAAGACAGATAACTTAAACAGATGTGAGCTGAGACGTGGAGTGATGTCTGTTCTAGCCAAAGTATCAATTTTTCTTTATTATCTTTAAATGTATGATGGATGCCTACCCTTTGTTTACTTATTTACAGAGAAAATAAAAACAATTGTTTTTATCATGTGTAAATACTGAAGGTCTGTAGAGTATATTCCAAAATTAAGAGGATCTCATGAAATAAATTTCACTAGCACCTCCAGCTAGTGAAATTAAAATTTAGAAACTTGTGAAACGAAAGAACATGTAGTATGATCTGCTTACAGCATGAATCAAGTATATTAAGGAACCAGTACTATACACAGGTTGTAAAAAACAAGGATAAGCAAAATGTTTACGTTGTGTAAGAATCATTTTGAATTATTATGCTTCTTAGAAAATCTTTCATGGTAACTTATCCAATCACCATGGTCACTACTAAAGTTAGAAATTAAAGTCTGAGATATACAAAGGTTATATCTTAGCCTCCTAAATAGTAGTATCATGTGGGTCCAGAACAGTTTAAAAGCACTGATACAAAGTTTCTGTTCTATTTTTTTTTGGGGGGGGGGGGGGGGGGGGGGAGCTGCTTTTTTTCTCTGAACAGCAACACAAATCTGACTTTTAAATAATTTCAACTGGGAAGCAAAGGGCCTTTTCTTCCTAGTTCACATAAAATACAGAAGATAAAAACCATTAATAAAATATTTGCCTAGATCTTAGTTGCTATGGCAAATGGGGAACATTTTCTTGGCTGTTATAAATGCTGCTTTGGACAAACAGACATTACAGACCAGCTCACTGGTAATGTGAAAGCACAGAAGGGCCGTATTTGTTTTGTACGCTCAATAAAAGCAGCTTGGGAAAAGGTGAAGACATAAATTATATAAGCAAAAGCTTTCACATAGTAAATTTAGAATTATTATTGAACTATATACTTAATACATCAAATTTTAACTTTCCGTGCTGAAAAAAGGCTCTTAGCTCAATGCTTTAAATACAGGTGTGCCAAGTGTGTTTTTTAAAGCAATAAAGAAAAATATGACCTTCTAAAAGAGACAAATTAAAGGGCTGTTATGAATACATGTTTGCAGTCAAACAATACTCTCTTCAATGCCAAACACACCGTGCAGCCTGTCACCTAATGCTATGCACACCCTCCAGGGCGAACACTTCCCAGGGGCGGTGCTGGGCTCACACACTAGAAGGCCCTGCAAGCCCGGCCCTGGCCTGCCTGGAGCCTAAACATGAAGTTCTCGGGCCTGCGTTTATCTCACTGGTCTTCTATCAAAGAAGCACAGGGGTGAGAGCAATAGTACAGTGGACAGTGTGCTGCCTGGCTCATGGTCAACTCGGCACACGGCCATTCCCGGCACCCCATCAAGCTCCCTGCATGCCACCAGAATGATCCGAGCACAGGTGGGTGTACAAAATCAGTATATTCTTTGGTACAAGCTTCTATCTAGCATCTAGAAATCTGATAAACAATCGAGCTTCTGCTCCAAATGGGATGATTGAGAGGACACGTTTTTCTTTCAGTCCTCAACAAGTGCCCACCGTTGGCCTGGCTTACTTCTGTTATTTCCCGCTACCAAGCAGCTGCTAGTCTTCTTCCAACCTGAAATAATCACTGTGCTCAAATCGAAAGAGCAATTAAGAGAAGCTTGGTGCATGACTCTGTTCATATTTTTGCTAAGAGTAATAGACGGGGCAAAAGAAGTATTAATTCCACTAAGAGCACAATCTGCTTGAAATACCTCTGTCAGCATTTTACCAATATAATAAGTAATGCCTTAGCAGCAAGACAGCTAAAGCAGCCACACTGAAGGAAATCATGTCAACAGTGTCTAAGACAGCAAACTCAGGGGCAGGTTCAGAAAACTCGAGTTTTAGTCTTAAATCCAAAACTACTGGTAGAGTCTTCATCTGAACAAAGGTATGTGTCACTAGTAAAATAAGTATTTTGGTTTTTCTCCTGAACATTAAGCACAATGCCATAAGTCTCCAAGGCCAGTGTATGATAAATGAAGCTCAGCCCCAAACCCTACCCCATGGGCTTTACCATATCAAAGCAAAAATGAAACTGCAAAGACAGCTAACGGCTTTTCATGATAGGAGCTATCAGTATTCAAACACTTGCAGTTCGGTGGGATTTCCCCCCAGAGATCTCAGCAGACCCAGACAAGTACTACATGCTGTTACGTATGTCTTAGTAACCTCAAGATGTACTTAAAACTAATCCTTTGATTTGTTTCAGTGGTTAACGTCTAAGTAAAAGTGCCTTTTACAAAAAACTTTAGAGACTTTTCACTAGGCAGGGTCACTTACCTGCTAGCAAGACTGAGCAATTCATGTTTATCAGCTACAGCAGACTTCTTCTCAAGCTCCCACATTAGTACATTGATCAGATGAGAATTTTTAATTATAATTGGTACTTCTTCAAACATGAACTCAAAGGTGATGCTTGCTTTTTTCAATCTGTGAAGCACGTTAAAATTATGTTAGTCTGAGAGGGTCAGACGGAAGTGTTAAATTGACTATTTTACTCATTTCCTCCTAAATACAGGTCCTTTGCAGAGCCTTTGTTTCATGAGCATTCTTTAAGAAGGGGAGACAGACTAGAGATTTGCAGATTCAAGCTTAAATGATCTGAGTAACTAACAATAATGCGAATTGAAACTGTACACCTACAAAGGTTAGATTTTTGGCCAAAAACCAACAAACAAAAAAAACCCCTCTTTTTGCAATCAGGTATCTTTAAAGCATTGTGATTAAAATGAAAATGTCATAAAGTTATTCTTATAATCTACAGCTAAAGTATATCAAATTAAAGCAAATACCAGGGAATATACTAGTTCTTGGAAGTATACATTTTAACAGCTTACTAAAGAGATTAACAAGTGGAACACTCATAGTGTATTCTGAATTCAATGACTCAGAACATAGCAAGAATGCAACTTCAAATGATTTAGTTAGAACTACCATATTCATCAACAGTTCATGAACCAGCTCTTCTTTTAAATCCACTGTACCTTTTTTTTAGGGACCAAATGGAAAAAGAGTTATGAGGTGTCTAACATGAAGTCAAAGCCACTAATATTGATTTGAAAAAGAAACTAAAACTATTATAATTACAGAAAATGAAAGAATCCTAAATATTTAAAACAAAACTTTTAATGCAGATACTCTAACCCTATTTATTATATAGGATCACAAACGGTTTTATCATCTAATTTTCTTGTCACCCATAAAATACCAAAAAAGGCACATTCCGTATTGAATCCTTAAAATGTTTCCACCCTACTATCTCTTATGAACCCGAGGTTCAGAAAATAAGATATCCAGTTGGCAAGCATTCAACACAGCACTTACAGACAGCAGTTGATCACTTGTTCTATCTCCCTTATACAGTCATTTATTTATTTAATCCTGAGGATCTAATTACTAACCACCCTAGCTGAACTTAGGCTTAGTGAGAACAAATGAGACGTTCTAAAAAGAACAATTAAATATAGAAAGGCAGAAATCAAACGGCACTCATCCACACAGAAAAATTCTCCTGTGTGAAGTTCACCTGACAAAAGCATTATCATACCACATTACCATACCACTGAGGAGTCAATAAATGTGGCAAACTAACCAAAAGAGATATGCTTCTCAGAGAGCCAGGCAAACTACCGAGTATCCCACCCGCACAGGCAGAGCCTGACAAGCTCCCCATGGCATATTCGATATGCCAAAAACAGTAATGATAACAGGTCTCATTCCCCTGAACCTAAAAGAGCCTCCAATCGTTGTGAAAGATGAGTTAAGGAGAGGCTGCTAAAATCTCAGGGCTGGGAGGAATAGAGACTGGCGCCCACTAGAGTAAATCAACAAACAACGGGATTAACAGTGACAGTGATACAGTGAACAAAAAGAGATACATATTCAATCCTTTACCAGAGGCTTCCAAGAACTTACGCTTCAGGAGAAAAATCCTTCTCTTTACAAACTTCCATCAGTTTAGGGGTGAGTCTATATGCCTTCAGTGAGAGAGACCCTTGGGCAGTTTTAATGGGATCTTAAATAAGGGAGAGAAAAACAGAAGTAACAAGTGGTTTTTATCTCTACCAATTCTTGAATGATAAGGTTCTGAGCACATCCTATTATCCTAAAATCTTTGTTAAATGAAGATTTAAAAAAAATCAGAAGGACACTATTTGAAGCAGATCCAAACCAGTACAGCAAACAGTAAGAGGGGAGGGAGGGGCAGGACCCTATTATACTACTCATAATAGAAAGAACAACTTCTTTCCATAAGAAACAATAAGATTCAAAACACAATCATTTTCAAATCTTCTCAGCTCAAACCAGCAATCTTGATGAATATCAAATATACAAAATGGCCTACACATTAGACATCTTGCTCATTAGCAGGAAAATATTAATGAATATTAAATAGAAAAATTCGCAACATGCATTGTGAATAGTTCTATAGTTAAACTAATATAAAATGACGAGCCCTACAAACTAGATTTAGTCCTCCTAATAATCTCTGTTCAAACTTTCAGTTAAAAACAGATTCTAAGAGCAATATCACTAAAGTCAAAGCGCTATCACAAAAGTGTCCTTTAGTTTTAGGGAAACTAATTTTGTCAAGACTGCTTAAACACTCCACGAGTAAGGGAGCTTAGCACTCGCTGCATGATAACAGCTCCAGCATGCCAATATTCTCCTAAAACCTGTGTTAACATTCATGTTGTCTGAAACTTAACACAGTGAAACTTTTAGCAATAGGTGATAAAATGAAAACCAAAATAGACTGAAACAAGTGGAAAATTCATCAAGGTCTGATGATGCAATGTTTCCAGCCAATATAAGTACACTTTAACAACTTGTTCTTTACTGTAATCCAATTGTTAACATACTGAAACAATTTTGGGGCAGCTCATAAGATTGATCGTATTCATTAGTATTTTTTCTGACAGATACTCAGGACGTTACATTTACTTCTCAGCTGGAAACTATATCCAAGTCTGCCAGATATGGCAAACTGTGAGTGTTTGGGGAGGGGGAGGCTATAAAGCTGTTAAATTGCCTACAGTTCTGATACAGCACAGAACATCTGGTCTGGAGAGCTTGAGGAAACACCATTAAATAGGCCGAAAAGAAAAAAATCTTTGTGCTAAGAAACAGTCCAGGTTTTGTATGCTGCTGTCAGAGGTATAAAAAAAAAGAAAGAAAGAGAGAGAGAGAGAGAGAGAGAGAGAGAGAGAGAGAGAGAGAGAGAGAGAGAACTTGGCACGCTGTGTTATGATTGGTCAGTCACGTACAGAGCCAGACACTCTAGCAATCGGGGTTTGTTAGACATCTGGTCTAGTTCCACCAGCCCTTTCAATTGAGGGAGGGGAGATGGGGGAATAAAAATGAAGCAGCTACTCCAGCATTCCAAAATGTACACATCAGGGCTCTGATAGCAAGAAAAATAAACAGAAAGAAGGAAACGCTGTCTAGACTTAGCTGCTGCTGAGGCTGCTGCAGAAACAGGGTTGGTATTTACTCGAGAAGGCTTGCCAGGCTGCTCGGAGAGGCAAAAGACAGCAAGCAAAAATAGCTGTAATAATATTAAGGGAAGAAAAGAATAATAAAGGAACCTCCTACTGACCGTAAATGAGAACGACAGATTCCTCAATGGCATGCTGGTAACTGAACTGAGAGTCCAGAAGTGCCCGGGTGACGAAGGAGCCGTAGTATGTGGACTGGTACCAGCCCACGTGGAGGTGATCAATGTTTACATGGCGCAGGCTCCGCATCATTTCCATCTGATACTGGACTAGACGGTGGGAAGGAAAGGAAGAACAGAACTATGATACCACCAGTGTTAAAAGCAAGCATTCCTGAAAGCAAAGTTGTATTACTTATTCGCTAAAAGGAGCAGCTTCCCAGACTTTGAATGCATTTGGTTCACACATGAAGAAAATAAAATTAAAACTTTCAAATCACTGGAGCTCTCTTTTCATTATCACTAATGAAAACACATTTTGTGCAAAGGATTTAAAAACACAGTATGACTCATCTAAACAAGTTATTAAATGTGGTCTTCAGTCTTTTCAAAACAAAAATTTAAGAAAAATTAGTATGATAACTAAACTGGTTAATTATAATAAGTTTCATTTAAATTAGGAGAATAGTTATCAATGTCTTTTTAAATATAGCTGTAAAAAGTGAGAAGTTAAACCATCAAGAAAGCTAATGGAGAAAACGATTAACAACCATACTATTTAAATGTGAACAGGATATAGGCTATAACTGATTTAAAATATAAGAATTCATTTCTGCCTTCATCTGGTGCCCCCTGCTGCATAAGCTAAATTTAAGTGAATTCTTTCTTCTCTGCGTTCCTTTGTATCAAGTAATAGACACTATTTTTAAATTACAATTGCTTTATTTTAACTGCCATATACAGGATGAAAGAGTTGGATGACTCTTACTTTTGTTAAAACTAATGACCATAATGTATATTATTAACTTAATGCAGTATTACCAGAAAAATAAATGCATATTAATAAAACATTTGAAAAAACAATGTAGCCCAATAATGAGTAGTAAATAAATATGTGAAAGCAAATACAGACGACACAATATCCAACCTCTTTCTATTATAATGACTGTGTGAAAAACAGATTTGCTTAACTCTGAATCTAAACATTTCATTAAAAAAAAAAAAACAAAAAACCCTCTTAATTAGGTCTTAACAAAAGTTCTATGTCTGTCATTTTCTTGGTTACAGCACTGTGGTTTTACAAAGCAAACACGACTCCGGATCATAAAGTATAAAAGAACCTTCTTCCTCAGATGAACACATATACACTTACTTCTAGGCAAAGAAATTATAAATCTGCCTGAAAGGTTATATTTCTCATAAAAAAAAAAGGCAGCCAACTCATCAGTTACTCGAGAACTATGTTTTTCTAAGGTTTTTCTTTTTTATTAATGGTATGATGGTCTCAAGAAACAGCAGTAAAAAAAATTAATGATAATCTTGTATCAATCATCCTTTATCTTAACATTCTGTTAAATTAGCAGACACCTGCCCTCCTGCAAATTTAACAGACTCATGCCAGCCGCATAAATTTGGGATAGAGCTTCATTGCCACATTGCAATGGTCCCATTCAGCTTTTAATTTTTTACGTAGCATTTAAAAATTAAGTAAGATCACCATTTGACTAATATATGTCCAAGTGACTCTAGAACCAGGATATAACTGTTTATTTAAAAGGGCAGGGTAAGGATTGGAGAAGTGGTTACGGTAGTAGAGCACATGTCCTGCCAGTATGAGGCCTTGAGGCTGACACCTGGCACCACAAACCACCACCAAGCATCCTGAACACCATGAGGTGTGACCTCTGGCGCCACCAAGGCACTGTCCCAGGTATGGCCCCAGAAATACTGAGAGAACACAATAAAGAGAAGACACCCATGGAGGTTACAATTGGGGGGGGGGGGGGGGGGGAGTTAAATAAATATAAAAGGATCAGGAAGAGGAGACAGGGAAAAATTACCACGTAATGGCAGTACAGCAAAGGTGAATTTACATAAAATGTTTTTTAAAGTCAGTCCTTCCAAAACACCTGGGAACAAACACACAACTTAGCTAAAACAGAAATCTGTAATAATTGAAGAGGAGAGAAGACACACATATACAACAGTTCGGAGATTTCTTCTATGAAATGGTCTTGCTACTCCTTCTCAATGGCTAATTTTCCATCTTTCCAAACATCGTCAAAATCCATCACTATCATCAAATACTGCATGATTCAAAACTGTTCCCTGGGTCAGTAAAATACGGAAGATCTACTCAACACCAAAGCAGGCTTCCAGCATGCATTAATGCCAGAAAACACGTGTCCTAGAATACAGTCTTAGTAAGTTTCCTCTCACGTGGTATAAATACAAAAAATTTTATAATAGTATTTTAGACTCCATGAAGGAAAAGCATTTCAAGACTGGTGGCCAATCTCTAAACTCCTTCCTGGTCCTGAATCTTACCCATACCACAGTCCCTTAGATTAGCATGAAAATTAAAATAAAATGGTTTTCTCAGCTAGGGAAGAGACTAAGGGATCTGATGAGACCTGACTGCCACCTCTGGGACTGAGGAGTAGAGATGAGCTTCTCTATGACTGGGGGTCGGGTGGGGGGCTTGTGTCTGGGGAACACTTCCCGGCTCCTAAAATGCAGTTTAGATTACTGTGGCACATAAGATTTTGCACTGCTTTAATACAGACATTTTCAAGGGGATCTAAGTGTTCCACATGAATGAATATAAAAATGTAAGGGTTGCAAACAATAATGAGTTGATGAAGGTGCTTTTGAAATCCTACAGCGCACTGGAATTGTACTATTATATTAAAAAAAAATGTGAGAGCCTATTCTATGTGAAATGTCTAGATATTACCTTTACTGAAACTATACAATTTTTTAAAATGCAAACTAAAATGAAAGTCTTCCTGGCGGCATCAGACAGAAAAGAAAGATCTAAAAGAACTGAAAGAGGTTCTTGAAAAGCTGAGGGTGAGAGCACCAGAGCTCCGAAGTGACACTGGGGTACACTGAGGCACACGGTACTCGTCAGGACTACTCATATAAAGTTCTAATAGATGTGGGGTTAAAACATGACTCTCTGGCCCCATTATATATATATATATGTATATATATATATATATATATATATAATGTACTGCAATTTTCCATCAGACAAAAGCCAGAACAAGAGATGATGAGTAGTCAGAACTGCTTCATCTCTCACTCAGACTTCTGGGTGTATGTCCTTGTTCTAATGCGGGCAAAGACATGTGACTGACATGTCACCCACGTAGCTTGCCCTTACCTTCCTACCCAGGTTTTCCAAAAGTGAAGCGCAACCCGACACAAGCTCCCTCTCTAGCAAGGCCAAGGAGGGAGGCATGAAACCAAACAGCAGGGCAAACTTCCCTGCTATCACAAAGCTGTGAACAAGCATCCATCACCCACCAACCACGCTAAGCCACACACTGGGCTGACACCTATTTATTCCTCTGACCTATGGGAGAGACAAGGGGGAAAAATCATGAAAGGCTGACACGCAAGCGTATTTTACACAGGAAATCAGAAACAGTCATTCCAGATTCAAATCTCCCAGGCAAATGTCCATGTTTTCCTGGCTGTGCTAGTCTGTCAGGCACTCTAGTGGGATGGAGGGGCCAAGACATGGGGGAGGAGGAAAGGCGCACAGGACACACAATTTAGCTGCCACAACAGCTACCACAAGAGGGGAAGAGATGCCCGTTACTGGAAGCGCCTGTGGCAGTGAGCTGGTACCCGCAGTCCACAGATTCTGGGGAATGGAAGGCGGTGCTGCCTCAGCCCGGCAGGACCTTATCTTCCTGAACTGCTTTAGGGGTGGGGGGCCAACTCAGTGGTGCTCAGGGATAACTCCTGGGACAGCGTTGTGCAAGGCAAATGCTCCCCCCCCATCCCTCCACACCCGCCCCCCCGTACTGTCGTTCTGGTCCCAAGCTGCATTTTTGACAGTAGAGTCAAAAAAGACGGATGGTGAGATGGGTATAAGGCTCACTTTATGTATAAAGTGCCTCACACCTTCGAGTGAACAGAATCACGGCAGAAGCAGCACATACAACAAAGAAAGGAAAAACAAGCTTCTCTGATAGAAAGCACCCCTAACTCCCTACTGCAAACTGCACAGGGTTGGTCTCTGGGTTAAAAACGCTTTCATTTTGTTCTAAAACTCTAACAGAAGCTCAAGCAGATATTTCAACCAATGACACTTAATTCTAAATGGCCGAATAACTTCTGGGGTGGGTCCAAAAGATGAATAGCAAGGGGAAATTTTTTTGTGGATTATTTTCAATTTATGACAATATTCACAGAAGAGCTCAGTATTTTGTAGTGAAATGTTTAGGAAAGGATGTTTTAAACTTTCTTGGTTTGCAAAGCAAACTTGCTCTGATGGAGGAAAACAGTGCACAGAAAATGAATTTCAAAGACAAATTGGTAATTACTACTAAGCCAACTCCAATTACTAATACAAAACCTACACTTAGAAGTGAATGAGGTGGTACTACAAATTTTGGAAGGATTATAAAAATGAGCTGAAGTTTCAGAAATCTCTTCAAACTCTATAATTGTCTTAATTGGTTAAGCCTCTCCCAAGCAAAGGCGATCCTGGTTTACAACACTAAAAGCTGTTCAAAGTTTGGCACCGGCATATTTATATTCACTTTTTCCAGATATCCTCTTTGCAAAACAGTCCATTTTAAATTGCCTACAGCTAAAACTGTCTTAACTGAGGCAGGCTGCCCAATAACTATTCCTTTCAAAATCCAACCACATTTGTTGGGCTTTCTCTTGTTTTATCTCCCAATACAAAAACACTGAAAAATAGTATGTTGTCTTCTATTTAAATGCTATATCTGTGGTAACACTGGCAAACAACCAAGCAAGAGTTTGAGATTTGAGTTCTGAAAAAACTGGAAAGGACACCAGATTAGAAGCTCTGCAGTTCAGCAGGATAATTAACCAGCAATTTTTAACATTCTTTAGCCCATACTCCCAAACCCCACCCTTCTTCTAAATTATCTCTTTGATTTCTCTTCAAATCGTTTCTTTAAAAAACAAACAAACAAAAAACAGAAACCAAGAACTGCCACCGTTGGCTAGGCTGGGATGGATACAATGAGAGAAGAAAGTTAAAGCTGTAATAGGCTCATTATTTGAGATGTCTGGCAGATGAAGTGGGGAAAGTGTTTTACTGATGTTTTATTAAGGAACTC